CATAAACACACACACACATCACACATGTCCATACACATACACACAAACACTTGAACACATTCTCCTAAACTCTTCATTCATACATTTGTTTGTTTTTTTTAATGGGTTTACTAACAAATTCAAATCCAAGCCATTTCAACTAATTAATGACACAACACCCCTGCCACACATATACAGCCACACACACACACACAAATACACACACACAGCCAAATATCTTCACTTCTGCTCAAGATAGATAGAGGTAATTTTTTTTTCATCAAATAAATGAACAAGCTTTAAGATTATACCAATAATTCCACATGCACAAAATTTGACGACTGCCTGATTCCACTGCGTCGTGACACATATATATATGTGAGGCAGCGAGGTGGAATCAGGCTCTCGTCAATTTCTGGGCATGTGGAGTTATTGGTGTCATCTTAACTAAAAGCCTGTTCATTTGTCTATCTTTTGGTGAAAAAAGTACCTATCTATCTTTAATAGAAGTCAAAATATTTGCGATTAAAGTAGGTAGGGTAACCTGATTTCAGAGGAAAAATAAGGGAGAAAATTACCGCCAACGCTTGGAATCTTTCAATGCGTGAGAGTCCTTGAAAACTGAAAATTTACATTTTTTGTACCTTTAATCAATGTTTTTCGGGACAATCCACACAGCAGAAATGTGTTTTCAAATGGACATAAAAGCTGTTGAGCTTAAAAACAAAAATTAGATAAAAATTGCCAAACGGGCAGAAAAATGCCAATATCTTTGATTTCATTATTTTGATGAGAGCCTGATTCCACCACGCTGTCTCACATATGGTCACTATTAAGCACAAGGGGGGCTATCCCTATAAATGCTGTTTTGAGAAAATCGATGTTAAAGTTCTTGGATCCTTATTCAGTCTCTTATTTTTTTTTTTTGGTAAGTGTTTTACAGCGCTCGCAACATATGAGAGCGAGGATTCAGTCTCTTTAAAAGGCGAAAAGAGTTTTCTCTATAACCAAACACATACACCAATGAAACCAAATTTCTTCTATAAGTAGGGCAATGCCCACTTTTGGTGCAGGTCAATATTTCTGGAAACCCCGAAAATCTGGGTTAGCTCGCTTGTCCTTAAAAGCGACCATATTCTGATTATTCATGTGGAAGTCACACTAAACACAAAACTAGAAACTTACCATAAAGAAAACAGAAGGAACAATACACAGTTCATTTTATTTAATTTTCTTTCAAGTGATGTTCAAAAACGTTCAAAATGAAAAAACAAATTATAAAGAAATAGTCAAAGATCTTTTTACTAAGACTTATAACATACCAAAAATGAATAAACAGCTTCCAACTACATCGAAAAATATGAATATAGACTCTTTCCTAGAGAATTATCTGAGGACACATATTTCACTCTCCCCTTTCCCCCCAAAAAGGGCATAAACATCTACATGTACTAACTATGCATGTCAAAGAATTGACACAACCTGCACATATATAGTGATCAAGTATACTGTATGAAATATTTATTATCTACGGACAAAATCCCCTCTTTCTCCCTTTCTCGTCTATATATCTAACTAATCTCACACACAAATACAAAAAAACATGAATGCAGCGACATGACAACACACACACATCACATATGTCCATACACACACACACACACACACACACACATATACACACACACACATGCACATATGTACACACACATGCACACACACACACACATGCACACACACACACACACACATACACAGACCCAAACAAACAAAGTATTAACTGCATCTAGCACACATATGACATGGCTTCTGAATGAAATAAGGGCACATTATGTGAAAAATATACTGTAGCTTGTTCACTTTCGTCTGCCTGCGTTAAAACAATTCTAGCTCATTTATTAATTTACCTTAGCCCTCAAACTTTTGCATGGCACTTCTGCAGGCCAGAGACCAAACAATTAAGCCTATTTTTTTCCTAAATTCCTGACCAAGTAATAATGTTAAAGTCTTTCTGCTAGGCCACAATATTAAAAATCGCAGGATCCCTAAAATAAATGATTTACAGTAATCTTGCTTACAAACTGCTCATTTTGAGACAGCAACATCATCCTCCTCTCCCCCCCCCCCCCAACCCCATTTTCAGTGTAAGGGAGGGTTGTCTTGAAGTCTCCATGTGCGTCTCGGAAAGTTTTCACCTGTGCATTGGACCATGTTTCATAGGCGTGTGTTAAAATGTAGTGTTGATGAAAATATGTCCACTTTTTAATGTCTTAGGTGCATGTTGTAAATCCCCTATTATTATCGTTTTGACCTGCTTCAGGATAACATCAAAGAAATGTGTGGGAACCATAGTTTGCAGTGACTTTTATGAATTATTAGCTTTTACATTCGGTTAGTCATCCGTATTTTAGACTCGTGTGCAAAGATCTGACAAGAATAAACAGAGCCATTCGAGTTTGTTTTGTTTTAACGTTAACAAAGATAGTACATAACAAGATGGGCCACTTCTCTCTTTGAGCCAATTAAAAAAGTGTCCTCAAAATTTGGTGGCGCCCTCTTCACAAAAGCGCACTCTTTGCGAACAGAGTTACCCTACTTGAGTTTTTAAAAATCAAAGTGAAACTAGCAAGTTTTGGGATAAATTTCGGAAGAACGCTTTTTTTTAATGGTTACGCTGACAAAAAACCTCTTCCGGAGGAAAGGGTGATGGTTTTCTTCGTTTAATTTGACTTTAGAATGAAAGGCGAGAGGTCATTAAAATAAAAAAAACCTAAAACTCCGCACTGAACGTACCCGAACTGCTGATGAACAGCAGTCGATCTGCGCACGCAAGGAGGTGCTATTCCTATTCTTCTTCTGGAAAAACGAAAGAGAGCTTCAAAACAGACTGCAGCGCCATCTGAAGCAAAGAGCATACTTCCTGCGGACACTTTTTTGGCTGAGTGGCCCATCTTGTTATTTACTATCATTGACGTTAACGGCCGGATAAAAGTGAACAAGCAGTAGTGACTTGAAAATCCAATGTTGTTCCTCCTACAATTACAGTCGAACCTGCTCTAACGACCATCTGAACAAACGACAACCGACCACTTCCCACTTAGGTTTTTTTTTTATATATCATAATCATAATGAAACTGTCCAAGACGACCACCTGTCGAAGACAATCAATTTTCTCCGCAACAATGGGTAGCCATCCATACTTTTGACTGTACCCTGCAGTCCACTTGAGATTAAGAACATCAAGTGTGGTTCCCTGCACCAGAACATCTTACACTGTGGCTACAGAAGGCATTGCTTTAAGAGGTCTTACTCTTTTTTTCGTTTCTTCTGTTGTTTCTGTCTGTCTGCTTACTTTTTCCCAGCACTAAATGTGTACAGTGTCAGACTGTTTTTGTCCAAACTTTTCTGAGGACATTCTGAATATAGTGTGTTACTATATTTTCTTTAGCATGAAAAAACAAACCAACAACAGAGAAGCAAAGCTCAGGAAACAAAAACCAAAACGAAAATAAATATTAAAAATGTTCCAATACAACGTGGTAGCGAAAAGTTTAAAAAACATTGAGTATAACATAAATGTATCATTTCTCATTAAGATGCTGATACAGCAAAAGACCGGCAAACGCGTCTGTTGCCGCGTACATTTTCTGCTCTTGTGTGAGAGGGAACTCTGCCCAGTTCCCACACCTCACATGACTGTCTTTGTCCAAGCGTTTCCTGAGGACATTCTTACACAAGCCTTCTAAGCTCCATCTTTCAGAAGATTTCAGCTTCTCGTTGGCAAGTTTACCAACATCTATCACAGCCTTTCTATCAAAAATAGGCTTTACATTTATGCTAAAATCTCTTGCAAGCTTCCACAAATCTGCCTCAATGTTCAGACCCACAAGTAAAACTCGATGGTCATGTATTAGAGTTAACAAAGTTTTCGGTATCGAATACATAGCGGATATATGAAACAAGTAACATGTTTTGTGAATGCACATCTGAATAAGTGAAGTCTTATCCTTAGCACCTTTCTGGTAAGACACGGGCCACTCCATGTCAAACCCAATAATAGTTTTCTCTTCATCATTCAATGATGACAATATGTGCCGACAAATTAAAGCACAGTCAGATTCTTGGTAAGAATAAACGACAGAGCCAGAGAAGGTCAAAAATGGCATGGACTGTGCTATAAACTCAGCTGCACTAAGTTTGACTGGTTCATCATCAGACGATTTCATGGCAGAATTTTCTCCAATTTCAGTTCTGGCATTAGATTTATCAGTCGCATTTTCATTTACAATACACTCAGCATCAGGTACAGAGCTATCATTATCTTTGTCCTGTTTACAAGATTCTGCAGTATCTGCTTTGCTAGTTTTCTTCTGAGCCTGATCACCGACTGCCTTCATCCAGGCTGGAAGAGGTCTCTTCTTCCCTTTACCTTGTGATTCCATTCCTACAGACATGGATGAAAAGAGCACATTGGTCAACAACAAAAACACGTTAAGAACCGCTGTGATTCCTTTTCTTGTCCTATTGATGTATTGATGTTGCTGAAAACTAAAAATGAGACTGTCCACAGGAGGCCTACACACACAGATGAGATCAAATAAATTAATTAACAAATGATGTCTTGTTGACACTGATCCAGTTTAAATACAGAAACTATACACAGTACCTGCATAAATGAGAGGAAAGTTATTGGTTGACCTTATTTTCTAACTACAGAAGCTGTTAACAGTTCACACATATGAGTTGAATGAGTTGCCTGTAATGTCTTGATATTTCTGGGGACCAACCACAGAGATTGTTTATACTGTTTCAGCACATATATCAGATGGAAGCGTTGTCTCTCAGTTCAGAAATGATTTTCTGTTGATATTCCTCTTGGTACTTGGCTGACAAACAAGACAGTTTAACGTTATTCCCAGAGATGAGATGAACATGTGTAATAGTTGAGATATGATGCTGTGGGCTACTTGGCAAGGAGCACAGCCTGCTCCACCTCACGCAGACTCAGCTTCCCTCTGGACACCATCATCTTGATCACTTCCTGTTCAAGCGGAAGAAGAAAGATGAAAATTATTCACAAGGTCGCGGTCAAACAGTCTTAAAATGTTTACTGTCCATCGCAAATAACTAGATATTCAACACTGAGCATTTAAACTATCTCAGTAAAACCGCGGTTTGACTTGTTCGGTGTGAAACCAACTCACTGCTGTAACGTTCATTTTCTGAAGTCCAGTGTCCCATTTAGTATTTTCACTATTTAATGAAAAGATAAAGAAAAGCATTTTCATTCAAAAAAGCCAAAGAAATACAACAACAACAACAACAACAACAACAAAAAACAACTTAAATTGAAAAGTTAAAATGAGCATTGTTTATTTTTGACAATCAATTAAAATAATGATCTATATTTTACACTGCC